GTGTGATAAAAACAGCAGCTGCTGGTCCACTGCTGCCTCATGTGGTGGGTTGACGTCACGCCAGTAAATATGTACAAAGGAGTTCAAACCCCAAAATGACTAAACAGCACATTTCAACCTCCTGATGGAGTCAGTGGTGGAGCTGCAAATCCTGATTGCTGTTTTAAAATTGGAGATTTTTCCATAAACTTGACATTTGAAAAATGCTTTAACGACGTGAAAAGAAGTGTTGAACAAAATTGGAAAACAAACTGTTTATTTTAAGCCAGTGATGAAATCAAAACACATTTCAAAAACTAGACTTTTACCTGAAGTTTCCTTAAGAGTGTATAACAGGGCTCACCAACCTTTTTGAAACAGAGAGCTACTTCAAGGGCACGTATCAATACGAAGAGCTACTTGTCTGATATAGACTTCCCAAACAATGTAATAATAATCAGTTCTAGGACATACAATAGTAGACAATCATCATTGTAACCATTTGAATATCACTGCAAATGTAACTGATTCAAAAAGCACAGTAACAGTACAATTTTTGACCTTCTTGTTGACTAGTTTGATTTCAAGAACATACCCCGCGGGCACCTCAGGTAGTCCACGGGGGCTACCAGGTGACCCCTGGTGTATAACCTACAATACTGCTGCTGCACCTGTACCGTTTACGTCTTCATCTGTGGTGCAAAGAAGCCCACAACCTCACACCCTCATGCACAGAGCTGACGTTGAAGGAAAATGTTGTTTTTGTCCCTGATGAGGTGAAAAAAAAAAAAGCGGTTTTATTGGAGTCGACTCACCTGCAGAATTAATAAGAACAGGTTTTCCGACGCGTGGCGGCCAAGCAGCGACTGTTATTGCTGCCCGGTTCCCTCTGTTATCTAAGCAATTAACGTCGTAAAGACAGACAAGCGATTGAATTTTCCGTTCTACAAGCGCTCATGCTTGTTAATGATGGAACAAGACTCAAAATGTCGGAAAGTTGGATGAAAGGCTTGGACTCCCATATACGTATTTTGTCAGAGCTACATCTGGACCGAGCTCTTGCAGAGGATGCTAGGAAAACTGTACGATACCCCTGGTATAATAATAAGGTAGACAGTACGACCTTTTATTTAACCTTTTTTATATGAGCAAATATTGCATTAGGTTGTAAACCAATGATTGCCAACTGAATATAAAAAAATCACCATGACCACAGCTAGGCTGCCTTGTGTTAGTTACTTTAGCCCTGAGTGCCCACCAATCTGTGGAACTGTACACCTGTCTGCCAATAAAACTCCACTCAAACCTCAATATCTCCAAATTATATTCCATGACACACAATCATTTTATTTAAGGTTTACTACACTCTGTCTCCACCTATTAGGGTTATTACTGCCACCTACTGGGTCTAAGTTTCACGAGAAAAACAATAACTTAAGTATAAAAGAGAAAGTACAGACAGAGGGCAGTGTCCATGAAGCTGAAAGTATCACAACATAAAAAATAGAAAAATATTAGTCCTTTGAACTGCTTAATGAAAACCAACCTGCTCTCAGTCTCAGGTCTGGCATTTCCCACCTTGTTTTGTTTGTATGTCACTGATTAACTACCCTGTGAAAGGCTGCAGCTCTTTCAGTGACATACCGCTGCCCCGACCCCCCTCTCAAAAACACCACCACCATCATCGTCATCATCATCATACTGTTGACTCTAGTTTACTGGTTTCACTAAACCATTTTATTCACTGTAAAAAAAAAAAGTCACAGTATATAGCAACAAAATGAGGTTAGCAGTTAAGGCAAAGATGGTGGCAAACTTCGCCAATATGTCTGAATATTATAGAGCAGAAGTAAAGACACAACAGAAGTAGGAATTGCAACAGAAAAATGTTTTGCTTAGAGAGAGATAAAAAAAGAACTCCATAAATAATAAAATTTGTCATTTTTTTGGCCAAATAGCACAATGTTTTTAGCTTTCAAGCTATCGTTAGCAGTGGCATATTAGCTATACATATACATAATGGATGGAATAAGTTGACAGAGTTGTAAAAATCACTGAAAGTTGCTACTGAAAGAGCTATAATTTAGAATCTGGAGACAATCACTGAAAGTTGCAAAGAGCTATAATTTAGAATCTGGAGACTTTTTAAAATTTATATTAGGGTTAATTGTTCCCTTACGTTATATTAATTTGAGTGAAAATGAAGTGCTAGGCTTCAATAGCACTCAGTGCTAACATGTAATGGCATTGGGTTTTTTTCTGTCATTGCATTTTTTTTTTTCCATTTAGTCAAATAAAAATTTGAATTGAATCTGGATGAAGCTTGCTCTTGCTTCCTTTTACAGGGACGTTAACGGCTGGAGAACACAGTTTCCCTTTCCAGTTCCTCATTCCAGGTGAGTCTGCCTGACGGTTTCTCTGTGGCCCTGTCCACACCCACCATTCGTCTAAACCTTTCACTCCACGTCACATCATCAGGTTGCTGTGATAACCGGTGATAACACGTTTTTTTCCTCGTCTGTCTGCGGCCTTTGTCTCTAATATGCAGCACACAACCGACAAATCTGATGAGTGATAACTGATGAGTGTGTGAAGAGTCATACAAGAATATTACACACTTGAAATGACACGGGCTTTGTCATGTCACATATCCTTATGAGGTAGTTCCTCCAGACGTCAGTGCTACGGTTGAATGTATTCATGGGCAAGCTATGGCCCACGGGAAAAGTTATGGCCATTTGG